TATTTTGCTTATTTCAGCCTGTTTTACCCCGTAATTTCCCTGATCTACTTCATGCCCTCCCCTGCTATCGGGACTTATGAAAACACATCAAGATTGTCGGCTGGAGAATCCGACGGAGAATATCATCAGATTCGTTCTCATCACACGAGAACAAATTTGATGATATAAACATTGTCAGGGAAGACCCAGTTGTCATTTTTGGAAAATTAACCAAAGATTCATTTTGTGATGCATTTATTGGTATATCATTGTAGAAGTGGTCTAAAATCCCCCCCCCCCAAAAAAAATGTGTATATTTATATATACAATCTATATATAGTTATACATATATATATGTATATATTTACATAAATATATATACATATATATATATATATATATATATATATATATATATATATATATATATATGTACAGACACACACTCCCTAATATATATATATATATATATATATATATATATATATATATATATACATATATATATATATATGTACACACACACACACACACACACACACATATATATATATATATATATATATATATATATATATATATATATGTATATATATATATATATATATATATATATATATATGTATATATATATATATATATATATTATTTATCTATACACATGCATATATACGTTTACATGTACATACATACATATTACATACTACACACACACACACACACACACACTCACATATATATATATTATATATATATTATATATATATATATTATATATATATACTGTATGTACATATACATATATACATATACTCAGATATATACACATTTACATATGTAAAGACACACACACTCACATATATATATATATATATATATATATATATATATATATATATATATATATATATATTTATATATGTATGTATATATACATACATACATGTGTGTATAAATATTGTCACCCTTATAAAATAAGTCAAATCCCCCTAAACTTTTCTGCCTGTATCCCAAAGTGAATTAGGCATTATTATCAGTGTGGCTAATAAATATTTCTGCCTACACCAAACAACGATAGTGTGAAAAAAATACAGCTGCATAGAAAACATTGCAAGGACAACAGGACAGGGGACATGAACTTTGAAGGAAATGTGTATAGTATCGGTATAATGTAACACCAGGTCACGCTCACAGTTAGCCAGTGACTCACAATCAGAAGTTAATGAAATTATGATCAGTTAAATGTAAAGAAACTCCTCGACTGAAGTGATGTATCATCGATTATCAGTGAATGTGTGAAAGTGAATCACTCTCCTTTACAAATATTTATCCCAATTATATCATGATCCGCACTATCACTCAGATAAATATTTACCAGGATCTAAGACTGAAGTAGCTAAACATGAGGCATCGATGTGGATCACCAAGAGAGTACTGGCACTGGTGAAAATGTATGGAATCTTATTGTCAGATTCAAAAATATGTCCCTTAACTTTTGATATCAGTGACTAAGTAATGCTCAACAAAACATTTTGTCCACTAAATATCTTGATCATGATTTTAAACATATATGACACAATTGAACGAAAAGTGAACAATGTCCTCAATGAGTGAGAATATATAGTGCACATCCAATGTACAAAGACAAAGCTAACACTATTTATCAAACAAATGAATCACCAACAATACATAAATATCTAAAGAGTATACTAAACCGCATCAGGTCAAGATTGACAGGGGTTGCCATATATAATTGATTGAACAGTCAAGTACAAACTATCATTTAAGATTCAGTTAATCCCTAAAATGGATTCCTTTGTTCCCATCAAAACTCCCCATCAAAATGTGGGAATACAGTAACCGACAACTCATGTAAACAGTTATGCCAGTTGACTGCTATAGCTTTGACACGTTGACATTACTATTTTATTTTCTAAAGAGTCATTTATAAACATTGCAGTGAAATTGCCTAAATCAGTTTATTTTTATATATTTCGAAAAATAACACTTTCTACATGCGAAAAGTATGTGAATGTGTTTATCCTTTCTATTAGTAGTCCTATCATTTTACTAACATGAAAATTAAGAAAATGAGGCAATTTTCTTTCAATTTCCCGAAAAATGGAAAATATGACTTTTATGAGGATATTTATGCATGTATATATATATATATATATATATATATATATATATATATATATATATATATATATATATAATTGTACACTTATACTTACCTAGACATACAGATATAGGAAATATTGGCATAAAAAAACAGATATAGGATATGCATGTGATTTAGAGACAAGATTATTACATGTGATCGGTATGATGTAACGCCAGGTCACGCTCACAGTTAACCAGTGACTCACAATCAGCAGTTAATGAAATCCTCAGTTGCAGTTATGTATCATCGATTATCAGTGACTGTGTGAAAGTGAATCACTCTCCTTTATTAGCGTATTTTCGGTTGCCATATATAATTGATTGAACAGTCAAGTACAAACTATCATTTAAGATTCAGTTAATCCCTAAAATGGATTCCTTTGTTCCCATCAAAACTCCCCATCAAAATGTGGGAATACAGTAACCGACAACTCATGTAAACAGTTATGCCAGTTGACTGCTATAGCTTTGACACGTTGACATTACTATTTTATTTTCTAAAGAGTCATATATAAACATTGCAGTGAAATTGCCTAAATCAGTTTATTTTGATATATTTCGAAAAATAACACTTTCTACATGCGAAAAGTATGTGAATGTGTTTATCCTTTCTATTAGTAGTCCTATCATTTTACTAACATGAAAATTAAGAAAATGAGGCAATTTTCTTTCAATTTCCCGAAAAATGGAAAATATGACTTTTATGAGGATATTTATGCATGTATATATATATATATTATATATATATATATATATATTATATATATATATATATTATATATATATATATTATATATTTATGTATTATTATATTCATATAATAATATATATACATATGTACATACATATTTACATACATATGTATATGTATATATATACACATGTATATATATATGCACACACACACACACACACACAGTGTACATGCAATATTTAAAAGAAATAATGAGATGTGGAGTAATGCTTATTAACCTATTCAAAAAAAAAAGGAAAAGAAAAATATTAAAGTACCCACTGCGAACTTACAACAAAAGATGATTTAAAACGATATACCACAGTTTATCCGAAACATAGAAAAAGGAGCATCTTCATTGGTTTAAAATTATTCTCATTGTATATTAATTGTTTATACGAAACATAGAAAACGGAACATCTTCATTATCTGTCATCACTAATTTGTTTTTTTACATTTTTTTCGGCAGTTATTCCGTGGACACCTGTTCGATCGTGAAGCTTAAGGACAGACAGACAGAATGATTGATCTGCAAAATTTAAAGCAGCCGTCAGTTGCCATTAAAGCAGTTGAAGTTGTAAGTAGTTGAGTTAATCACATTGGGTCATTTCGGAAAGATTTACGTAATTTATACTTGTGTAATTATATAAGTATATGTTTAAGTACATGTGTGTGTGTTTGTGTGTGTGTGTGTGTGTGTGAATAAGTACACGTGTGTATAATTATGTATATATACATATACATACACACACACACCCTCTCTCTCTCTCTCTCTCTCTCTCTCTCTCTCTCTCTCTCTCTCTCTCTCTCTCTCTCTCTCTCTCTCTCTCTCTCTCTCTCTCTCTCTCATACACACACACATTCAAACTAATCCTAAGACGCTCTCCCGCAGGTCCTGCTTATCATCGCCGTATCCATATTCGCGGGCCATGGTACCCACTGGAGCTACTTCGCCATGAGCACGATGCTGGGCAGTCTCCTCAACGCTATCGTACTCCTCGGGTGTTTCTTGCTAGGATACATGCAGATTCAGAAGACCCCCTTTGTGAGTAGCGTGTGAGGTGATTTATATATGGATATGGATATGGATATGTAGGGTGATATGAAAAGAGTAGGAGTGTGTGATGATGAACAGTTTAAGTACTGGTTCTTGTATAGCTGGTCGAAAAAGTGCGCGGATTTTATCTGGTAAGGCTATATTGCATATACATAGCACAGATGCTCTATGGCCGAACGAGGGAGGACAAATAAATATGTATGGATTGTTTTTTTTTTAATCGTTCGTATCATGCGAACAATCACATCAAAATGGGAATCGGTAAATAATATGCAAATTGAACAAGAAGCATAGGTAACAATCGGTTATATCGTATAATTGTTAATGTATTTTTATTTTTATTATCATGCAAGCATTTTATCTCCTAGTGAGTGTAAGCTGTAGACAATTTAGCTGTGATGACATTAACACTTGAATAAGAAATTTAAACAGAGAATGCCTGTTTTATATACTATCCCATGCATTTTATTTTAGATATTAAGGCAAGTCTCCGTAGAAATTTTCAACACTGTTTATTTAACAACAGAACTTATATTGTTATACTTGAATGCACTAGTGTTACCAGATAAAACCCCAGTTCGATAACCACAGGGTGGCCGCGAATCTATTCGGCCAACTGTACCGTTTTTTTAGTTATTTGACTAAAATGCTGTAGTTTTTGGTGTATAAAGGATAATCTTAGTACTTATACACTTGCATGGAAATGAAATAAGTTTTATTCTCCCCCTCTCTCTCTCTCTCTTTTTCCAACACTTTTTAACTGAATAAAAAAATGTAACAGGTTTAAGGGGCTCTGAATGTGCCAGAATATATTTAGTCAGTTTTTCTATTTGTCTTATTTCAAAGGAAGATAAATTCTTTCGCTATCCTGTCATTCATAAAAAATAGTATATCAAGTGTATCTTCTCTCTTTCTCTCTCTCTCTCTTTCCCTCCCTTTCACCCCCCCCTCTCTCTCTCTTTCCCTCCCTTTCACCCCCCCCCTCTCTCTCTCTCTCTCTTTCCCTCCATTTCACCCTCCCCCTCCCTCTCTCCCTTTCTCTCTCTCTCCCTCCTTCCCTCCCTT